AGATTTGAACCGCTGACCTGCTGATCTAGCAGTAGCCTGCAGTGCTGCATTTTAACCACTGCGCCACCTTGGCTCTTAAGTGATAAGGGAATACTTGATGGGCTCAAAATTCATGCTCTCAAAGTATCTTCTTCACCAGTTTGCAGTCTAGAACAAAGAGTAACAAGCTTTTTATGTAAAAGTCCAGGTAGTAAATATTTTAAGAGGTTAAATCAAGGATATTACACAGGTTCTTATATAATCGGGGAAACAAATTTCCCCACGTTTTTAATTGATGAAATTTCCTTTCTTTCACCCATTCACACTTCAGAAAGCCAGGGCAGGGGCTCCAGCAGTCTTGCACTTCTGCAAGTACAACTGGCAGGTCTGCAGGCGACACAGCCCAACCACTGTTGGACAGCACCAGCAAGGAGCCACCAATGCCCTGGGTGCTCACCTTCACCCTTTGCCTTGGGAACTCGCCTGAGGTTCTGGCCACTTAACTACCCACCTATCCATTCTTAGCTCACAGGCCATACAGAGACAGGGTGGATTTGGCTCATGGGCTCTAGTAGTTCGTTGGCCAGTAGATCTAGAACTTAATCAAGTAGAGTAGAAAGGGTTGCCCTGTGTCCTCTATTTTTCAGCATTTTTCTTAGTAGATGGGTAGAGAGGATGCTTATCAAATTTACAGATGACAAAAGATGCAGTGGGATAGCTAAAACACACACACAGACACAAATTCACCAAAGTCACCAAAATTAGGGAAGGGCGAGCATTTGAGGGATCCCGTCTACTTGACTAGATGGCAAAGGGATTGGGAACAAAGAGATGGACTGCTAGCCAGGAGATGTTGCTGGCCAGGTGTAAATAAAGCCCAAAGTGTCAGAGGCTTATGGATAACCATACAAGTCCTTGGCTTACAAGCAGCCACTTAGTGACTGAAGTTAACAGCAGAGCTCCACTGGGGTTCTTATGACCAGGATTTGACATTTTAACCAGCCCTCTTACAGCCCCTCTTGCAGCCCTCTGGGGCCTGGCAGCTGGGCTGCATTTATGGCCATTTGGTCTCTTGACTGCATTTTATGATGATTTTGCTGAAAATTTATTTACCTCCAGTTTTCTACCAAACCTCACCCATTGCAAGCTATTGCTTCACTTAACACCCACATTATTCATTTGTTGACCACACATTCACTTAGTGGCACCAGGTATTCACTGAATAACTGGCACAAAATGGTCATAAAATCAGGTTACAGCCATGATGGGCATTTTCTGTTGTAACTGGAAGACTACCTGTGCATCTAGCTCTCGGCTTTTGTTAAATTCCTTCAGGCAGGGGAAGAGTTAAGTCAGGAATGCTGAGCAAGCCATAAATCATTTGACTCTGTTTTTACTGCATCCCAAATTCTTCCATGGTTGAAGTTGTAAAAGACAGTTCAGAGGAAGAAATCTGTGTAATTGCTTAAGCTAAAATGTCTTTACATGGCTGAAAGAAAAAACAGTGTTTTCTGTCTGATAAAATAAAGAGGGGGAGGAGAAGGAAATCAGAAGAAACTTTTTGCAAATGAAGTTTGGTTGATTTCTCCTAAGAAGCTGCGTGGGTTCATGAAAGCGTAGATGAGAAATCTTAAAATATCTTAATAGTTAAAAATGTTGAGATACAAGAATATTAACGTTATTGGCACTTATTCCCAGTTGAAGTACCGTATATACTGTAGTGCAGCTGCACAGAAGAATTTTCATATACCGTACAATTCTCATTGAGCATTATACCTATTATTGGAATGGAAGCCTAAATCAATAACATTGGTATTTGAGCCAGACCTAAGTTTGTACAGCACACTAATCCATCAAACACAGTTAAGAAGTTGCACATCATGCCAAAGGCAAAGGACAAGGCTTAACAGGGTAGACTTGTTTACATTATACACTGCAACACAATGGGGCTGTTTGATGTTGGTTCAGCCTTTGTCAACAGTGGCTGAATATGTTAACCTGGCCGTGCACTACAGCAGAGAGGGCCAGCAGGTAAATGCTGACGGGCATGACAATGCAAACACCCTTACACACTTTTCTCCAACATCCTGATGCCAGACTGTGATGACATCGTTGTATGCGTGTGGTCATTTTCATTTGTGGTCCCCACTGAACCCAGCCTGCTGCTGGTAGTTTTTCTTTTGCGTGGCCTTGTCAGAGAATACTTGCTTGCACCATCCCAACTCCAGCCCTGTTCTTTGAAATGCAGCTTTGGTCTCCCACTCACTTATAATATTCCAGAAGACTCTTGAGATTTAAGCAGTCTGATACTTTTCAGTCTTAACTTCAGAGGCGCATTTATATTCTCGTCTGCTCAGTGCATGCTTTCTTTTCTAGGTTCAAGAAGATCTTCAACAGTTGAAGGAACAACTGCGAGATTTTAGCCATGACTGGGAAATAGCAGATCCTGAAATTTTAGAATCGGTTGTTGAACAGGCAGAGGACAGACTGAGGGTGAGTGGATTACCTCTCTTAGTGGTAAAGAAAAACTGCAGGTAGTCCTTGAGTTACAACAGTTCATTTAGTGACCATTCAAAGTTATAACAACGCTGAAAAAAGTGACTTATGGCTATTGTTCACACTTACGACCATTGTGGCATCCCAATGGTCAAAATTCAAATGCATGACAACTGTCTCATATTTATGATGGTTGCGGTGTCCTGGTGTGATGTGATCACCTTTTGTGACCTTCTGACAAGCAAAGTGAATGGGGAAACCAGATTACTAACAACTGCACTAATTCACTTAACAAATGTATCAAGAAAGGTCCTAACCTGGGTCAAAATTCACTTAACAGAGGTCTCACTTAGCAACAGAAATGTTGGGCTCAATTCTGGTCGTAAATCAAGGATTACTTAGGGAAGGAGGGAGAGAGAGAGAGAAAGAAAGAAATTCAGATATATACAAATATAAAAATGCATATTTTCTCTCTATTTCTGAACAGAAGCATGCAGAGAACTATTTAAATGCAGTGAACAGATCAGTGCTAACTATTTTCCCAGCGGACGATGCAGAACGGACTTCAAGACAGATTTCCAGATGGTAAGAACATTCAGTTTGATTGGGTAAATATCTAAGCGGCAGAATTTGGCTGTTTTTAAGGAGTCCAAGATAGTTTTCAGAAGCCAAACATCAACGTACAAAAATGCTTCTGCTTTCTGGGAAGGAGGATTGGAGAAGGAGTTGACTGTCTTCACATGACACCAAAGAACTTTGCTTGTGCTTGACTGCCTTCTTTCTGTGGATTGGAAATGGCTGCCCACCCCTGGTTTTGGTCTTAGTGGGTGGTTCTTTAGATGTTTCTGGCTGAGAATGTCTCTGGATGGAGAACAAACCATAGAACATTCTCTCTCTTTCCCTCCATGCAAGATGGCAAGTCTTAAGACAAGGGCTAACTCACCTGCACACGAGTTTTGGGGATGGTCTGTGACAACTCGCTGCAGGAGAAGAGCTACAGGAATATCAAAGAATTGGTGGAATAGAATCATTAAGGAAAGGATGCAAAAGGAGGGGCAGGATGAAATATGAATGGCAAAAATTAAAATGATTTTAATTTATTTTAAATAATTAAATAGAATTGGTATATTGTCCCAAGGCACGTTTTCCCGCAAAGAGTGGGTCATGATGAGTTGGCTGTTACGAGTTGGCCAGGGTGGGTTGGCCACAACAAGTTGGCTGTGGCAAGTTGCCCCATTCCCTTGGGGCAGCTGTGGCCGGATATAAACGAGGCTTGTGTTGGGCAAAACCCTTTCTCGTCTGGACTCCTCGAATATCTGTAGCTGCTTATCTGTGGCTGTTGAACAAGATGAAAGCAATAGACGTAGTTTATTTGGCCAATTCCCTATTTATTTTAGCTGCTCTTTGCAGTGGCCACAGGCTTCACTTAAGCCAATTAGGAACAAACCAAGAAACCACAAATTGACGTACATTCATCTATCATGCCAAGCTATATAGGCTAAAACAATGTCCACAAGAAATTGAGCTTTCAAATTGTGGTTTGCTGTTGTTGAAGAAAGCACAATTTATGTTCGCTGCCCATGATGGCATGTGGACAGTCAAATCAAATTACAGTATATTACAACTTAAGAGTATCTGTAAACCTCAGCAAATATCTATCTATCTATCTATCTATCTATCTATCTATCTATCTATCTATCTATCTATCTATCTATCTATCTATCTATTCCTCAATTTACATCTATAACGGAGCCTGCCCATGATGGCTGTAAGTCATAATAGTCTAAAAGAGCTGGTCATCTCAGACAAACCTGAGTTTACAACCTTTTTTATAGTGGTTGTTAAGCAAATCACTTATGGTCATTCCAGCAAACATTGCAGTCATTAAGTGAACCTATCGTTCACCATTGGATGTTTTTGCCAAAATCCAGAAGTAAACATCATTTTTTGGGGCAAAAACATAAACCGGCATCACATGGCCTTGAGCTGATGCAAGCATAAATGCAGGCCAGTTAATGAGCATTTGAAATGTGGACATGTGACTGTGGGGGTGCAGCCATCAGTTATTAATACTTTTGTGGGGTCCGTCATAATTTTTAACAGTCATTAAGTGCCCAGTTGTAAGTTAAAGACTACCTGTAGTGCTAAATACCTTTCTGCATTTTATCCTAATTACAGTTAGTCCTCAACCCAGAACCACAATTGAACCCAAAATATCATGTTGCTAAGTGAAACATTTGTTAAGCGAGTTTTGCTCTATTTGACAACCTTACTTGCCCCAGTTGTTAAGTGAATCATCTCAGTTATTAAATTAGCAATATGGTTGTTAAGTGAATCTGACTTTGCTTGTCGGAAGATCACCAAAGGAGATCACATGATCCCAGGGTCATGCATCCATCATAAATAGGAACCCATTGCCCAAGGGTCTGAATTTTGATCATGTGACCATGGAGACGTGGCAGTGGTTGTAAGTGTGAAAAATTACTCTCTTTTTTTGTGCCGTTGGAGAGTAAACGAACTTGTAAGTGGAGGGCTACTTATCCTGTATGTCTTCTTTGGGGGGATATAAAGATAAAAGCCAACCCTTTTGCCTGCTTTCTGATTCCATTCTCTTCCCAATTTAGGGGGATCCCCTTGGAGCCTTCTCAGAAAGAAATCATTTTCCCCAAGATGCCCGGAATCGCCCCTCCTATCAGGGCAGCCCTGCCTCCAGCCTCATCTTTGGGCTCAAAGGTTTGAAGCAACCAATGTCTTTAATCCTGCCAGGGATCTCACCGGCTCGTTCTCTTCCCAAGGGATCTCGCTCCAAAATGTTCACCCAAAGAGCCTCCAAGTAAAGGCCCACTTTGGATTTTCTTCTGCAGCCTAGAAAATGGACTTTGGGGCAGACGTCCTCCTTCCCTAAGGGCAAAAAAGTGGAGCCATAAGGCTTATGATGATGGTCAGGTCTTTTTAGTAAAGCATTGTGGCTTCTCCCTCCACAGTCCCTAGGGAGCTCTGACACAAACTGGGACTTGAAATTGAATCTCTCCTGTCCCAGGGCAACAGCTTAAGCCAGTGTCTCTCTGCCTTGGCCATTGGAAGATATGTGGCCTTTAATTAGTAGAATTCCTCCAGCAGCAAGACTGGCCTAGTAATTCTGGGAATTGAAATCCAGGTACTTGCAAGCTACCAAGGCTAAGAAACCCTGCCTTAACCACTACATCACACCAAGAACAAAAAGTCTTGGCCTGGATCAGCACAGATAGAGGAGGAAAATGCAACTTGTCCATTTGTCCCGTAGGCTTCAATTACTAAGGTGGAGGTTCGTTCTCCAAGCTTGTGGGTTGGTTTCCAAACATTTCATTACCAAGCTAGATAACGTGATAAGATAAGGTGAGGGTCACATCAGGTGAGGGTCTTGTGATGGGGGAGGTCACATCAGGTGAGGGTAATTGGGAGGATCATGACCCATCACAAGACCCTCACCTGATGTGACTTCCCTACTGACCAGTTGAAGCCCTTAAAAAAAGATACTGACACAGTGGTGAAATCGAGCAGGTTCTGACAGGTTCTGGAGAACCAGTAGCAGAAATTTTGAGTAGTTCAGGGAACTGGCAAATGCCATCTCCGCAGATGGGCCACACACACCCCACAGAGTGGGGAGGGAATGGGGATTTTGCAGTATCCTTCCCCTGCCAGGCCCACCAAGCCACACCACACCCATCAAGCCGGTAGTAAAAAAAAAATTAATTTCACCCCTGCACTGCACAACAACATCCCCATAGATGTTATCTAGCCTGGTAACAAAACATCTGGAAGCCAACCCACAAGCTCACAGAATGAATCTCCACCCTTATCTTACATTTGAGCTTCAGATATTTGTCACTATCACAATCTTACATTTAGTACTCATATGACTAGAAATTTTTGAGTTTCATCGTATAGATGTCAATGACAAGAGTCTTTTCTTTGACACTAAGCCCCTCAGTCTTAGCCCCTCAGTCTTAGCCCCTCAGTCTTAGCCCCTCAGTCTTAGCC